AACAGTTTCATAACTGTGTTGAAATTTCCAAAAAAATGAAGTCGCTTCATTTACAGTATTGGCAGTCCGCTATTTGGCTTTAGCTTAAATTAAACTGACAAACCTGTTTTGTTGTCAAGTTAATTAGAACAGTTTGGATTAGAAATTAAACCGGACTCATAAGACTGTGAAACATATACCGTCCCGTATGTATTCTGTTCTTGACGCATTTCTATTTTGCAATGCAATAAACTTGTTAGTCAGTCCAGAAGACAGTGTGACGCGCCTCGAGCGAGGGAGAGTCCTGCTAATGATGATATGAAAATGTGTTTGTATTTTCTGTTTCATGTCATTTGTGTTTCAAATATAAAACCCTCGTGTTGATATATCCATTTAGAATTCATTAAATCTATTTTAAATTCATATTACAGCGGAGAAAGCATATCTTAAATGTTATGTAGTGATTCTTTGTTTAACACATACTCTACTAATCACGTCTTTTACATTCCTTCATGTTCATAATTTGACTGTACATATATTTTTATAGCGCCGCTCAGTTCTTTTATCACCATGAAGTGTACAATCTTTACCCTCATTTTGGTCAGCACGATATCCTGCATATATTCTGTTCATGGTATGTATAGAAATTGAAATTATTATTGTATAATTTACCTACTGGGTTTGTGTGCAACCTATAGTCATTAGAACAATGATAGTTTTTCGTCTTGTATGGACAACTATAATGCAACTACATTAACCACAGTACCTTACTGAATAATATTATTGTTCCCATTGCAGCAAAGATGTTTCATCGACTGACTTTATATAACCCGTCCCGGTCGTTTTCTGCCTATGACAGACCAGTTTCAAATAATTGTGATTACGGTAAATAACACATTCAACAACGTTCGAAACAATTATATATTTTCTCCATTGCAGGACATGTGCTTCTAAATCACGTTGTCGTGGAGTATGAAATCTACACTGATGCAGTTACTTGGGATGAAGCAATACAAAGATGTGAAAGTGAGAATGGACAATTGGCCAGGATTCCCGATAAACGCACAGACGATCTTCTCAGAGATTATATATACTACTCTGGTGCTAACAATTCGGTTGAAACTGGGTTTTGGATTGGTCTGAACGACAGAGCTACCGAAAATACATTTGTGTGGCTCAATGGTGGACCCGTTTGTTACACAAACTGGGCTAAAGACGAACCAAACAATAACACCAAGCGTAACGCAGCTGAGGGCCAAGATTGTGCACAACTGAGGTGAGTTTACAAATGATAACCTGAAAGTTTGTGTATATGTTTAGGTGTTACTCTAATATATGCCAATAAATCAATGAATGCAGTGCCATGAATTATATTAGGTATGTTTATATGTTATTATCCACGCAATTACTTTACGTTATAATTAGTGTTATTATGCAACTACCAAAACGTCTTTCATGTTGGGCTGCAAAAACAAACATTATTTTAAAAATTGCATGTGCATAGTTTCCCAACGTTATTTTATTTTGTTTTATTTCATTTTGCAGAAAAAGCAGGGACTTCAAATGGGATGATGAGTATTGTAATGACATCAGAACAAAAGGTTATATTTGTGAAAAACAAGGTACGTTTCCGTCATATAAATAACCACAACAAATTATCTACTTAAAACTTAATCTGTAACTGAAAAGACTTGTCAACATGAACTATTTTAGACAATATTTTAAACAATAAGCTGTTGTTATATGTACAATTTTTCATTTTTTTTCAGTTTGCAACTTCTGTGATACTTGTTAGACCGTCAACACCAATTACACAACCAACGCATTGTGACAACCCGATGACCATAGGTCTACATTAATTAGAATATATCATTCTGTATCTGCATGCTGTACTAATAAAACAGATCATCCTATAGACATAAAGTGTGTTTATTTAATACTCGCTATAAAACTCATCGCCACATCATCTTCCATCTTCCATTTTGATTAGGGTATCGTTAACTATAATATATGACATCATTTTTATGCAGTGTGGGAAGTAGATGACACATACCACAAACTCCAAAACCACAAAACCGATTTCTGAAAGTGCCAGTATTGAGGCCAATACTGAATTAATTTTTCATTTACTTAGTCTGCCAAGAGTTATATGATCTTCGCCACTGAACTGCGTGAGTTGCTTTTAAGCAATATAAATTGTTTGACTCACACTGATAATAAGATGGAACAATAAGACAGCACATACAGAATTCTTATGAACTCCTAACAAATACCACTCACAATTAGATTGGCTTAAAAAATAAGCAAGGTATTTTCCAAATTAATTGAATAAAGTATGAATGATACAGGTTATGGTGTATCCACAAAAGCACCTGAATTTTTTAAAGCAGACTTGTGGACTTACAGATGAAAATGTATTTGTTGACGTGGCAAAGACTTGATTTTTTCAGTGATTTTCTTGTTTTGTCTGGTTTTTTCTTTGCCACTTCTGCAACACTCGGAAAACTGATTTCCGTCTTTCTCTCTCTCTCAGCATACAGCTCAAGATGCTTTCAATATGTTGCTCACCAATGACTACCCAAGTTTTAACAATATCCAGCAGTTACCAATTCAAATTTATCACAGTCATCACAGACTGTTCACACTGTGTGCAAGTGCGAATTGAAGCACATAACGGAGATTTTTCCCTTTATGAGTTAGACTGACCTTCTCATCGAAGGTACTATATGCATTACAGCCTTGTTCAGAACAAAAAATGTCTACAAATATAGAATACGTCGTGATATATTAGAAAGGGTGACACGTGTTGGAAGTAGTCAAATACAAGTTAATCGCTAGATGTGTGAAAGAAACCTGGCTTCCGCTTATGGATACAATCATTTGAGCCGCGTAACGTACATATGATGTTGAGAATGATAATTTATGGCTGTAGATATGATTGACCATCATCCATTCGAGTGTTTTATCTACTGATTTCTATTACTATGGGAGTGAAAGTATCAAGTGTTACTGTGGTGTTCCAAATGAAAATATCAGTCACGTGAATGGTGTTATTTTATATTCCCACTCTGCGACCAGCATTACTTTTACGATTGTTATAAAGCATAACTGTTGGGCATTTTAAATAAACATAAATAAATGAGAACAAGAATAGTGTTTCCCAATTTCGTGTTGTAATACTTCCCATGTATTTCATATGGGTTTTTTTCATAAAAACTATGTATTTGTATGTAATTTATGCGACTGTGTCAATGTCGGTTAGCTCTTGTAAAGCTCTTCCCTGTGACTCTCACTTCAGACGATTACAATGAAAAATAAAATATGAAAAACAATAAGCAAAAGATGTTGGCCAGTTTGAATATTTTGTCAATCTACAAGCAGTAATGTACCCCATACAGAGACGTATATGTATGAAAAGTAGTGTCTGAATAATATGACATCACCAAATTAACATATTACAATTAAGAAGCAGAACAGCACAATTATCTCAGAATTGACATTGAGATAAGTCAACAGAAATAAGCAGTCACTGTATACAACCAAAAAGCATATTCATTGAACTGATTTGAACGTTACTAGCTCTAAACATTATAGAATTTGACGTGAATGAAAATTGTAAATACAAGTAATTGCCTGCGTACTTGAAAGCATGCATAGCTTGGAAATCTTATGTAAGGTGGCACTATACAAGTGAAAACTAACTATTGGGAACAACAATACAACTCTTATATAGGAGGTTGCCATGTTTTTCTGTCGAAAAGTACCATCCCAAAAGATCCATGACAAAGTAAAAAAGAAGCCTGATAACAAAGAATGAGAACATGATGGACCAATCAGAATGCCGGAACCATTACTAGTTACCGGCCTCTTGTAGCTTGGTGCGCCATAACACTTTAGGCGGTAACCTACCGAAGACGTAACCCTCACGATGAAAACGAAAGTACACACCATGGACAATGATAAAACATAGAAGGCAGATTGCAACGAAATTGTATTTATTTATTTATGAAATAAACAAATCTGATTGTTCCTTGAACGCAATTTGATATTGCGACATCACCAATAATTCAACCAATAAATATATCTATTTTAATGACGAGACAAAACATTTTTGTGGAAACTTTTATGATCAATCTTAATATTCTACCGATACTTTTACTCATTCACCAATACACCAATTGTTTTAAATTTAATTTTAAGATTCCTCTCCAAGCTCCCTCGTCTGAACTGCCACTACTGTTTGTCAATTTACTGTTACGATGTGTGAAGAAGACTAATATAACTAACACACAGTTTAGTTCTAATGTGTCTCTAATACATTAAATGTATCGATAATTTGTTTAACTTCAGCCGATAAACTGGCCGTAATTACGTAATGCGTTGATGCGTAATGACTTGCAGAGAAGTTGCCGGAAAAACTGCAGCAAACTCCAACGTTTACTTACGCAACTCTTTATGAAGGTTATAGCATCATACATCCTAGAAGATTGTGTCATGACCTCCGCCCTCTATAGTTGAACTAGCTTATTACATGGTAATGATTAAATTTGTATATTGAGCTGACTGACACTTACTTAAACATTATTAATAGTACACGATGTCACTTCTAGGGTTTGTTTGTATATGAAACACAGTCACAATAATTCACCTAATACATGTGTAAAATTAAATACTTTTGTGTCTTTTTTTCACTTTTTGAATGTTTTTAATTTATTTGTCATGTCTGGGATATCATCTTTGTGTAATTGCTTGTTCTATTGCAACACCTTGTAAAATAATTTAACTCTTGTTTGAGTCCCGTAATAGACAATACTTCGTGTGTTTACGCTAGAGTCATTGATTACGGCAGGTGAATATCGGTACCTTTCAAAAATTTATACTGTAATATTTCACCCACTTGTGCTATACTAATGAAGTAAATAATGATGATGAGTCTACATCTGATAACACAGGTGTACATCTTTAAGACAGTAGTATATATTGTGATGAGTGTACTACTTAGATATGAAATAAGACACACATTATACGTCCATATCAGCTTTATTGTATTAGTTTAGCATGCAAATACAGAAATTAGATCTACAAAAAATATGTAGCCCCATGGCCACCGAACTACAACAATGCGTCGATTGTATTCATGGTTCTGGGCATTTAGAACAGCTGCAAGTTGAAATAAAACAACAACGAAAATTTAACGTCATTTTCAAAAATAAAAACGCATAATACGAACAATGACGTCATATTAGTATTATTATGCCAATTCTACGATAATTGCCAGTTTTAATGTTTAATATTATATAAATACAAAACAGTGCTAGTCATGCCTGCCATCAAAACCGCACATGAGCACACATACTTGTACTTGCCTGTACCTCTCTCAATACCCTTCTCTCAAGTTGAATCTTACATGTTGTTATGACCCACATAAGATTGCGTTTTAATTGAATAAAAATGCAACAAAGTAGAAACAACATTATACATGTTGTAACTTAAGATAGAAATGTTAGTAAAAGGTGTAAACATCAGTGTCGCATTATTACACACTAACATACCTTGTACTTCACAAATGAAACCCTTCTCTCTGATATCAACACCAGTGCAATATTCATCATCCCATTTAAAGTCTGTTGTTTTTCTACAAAGACAACAAATTACAATATAATTTACCTATCTGTATAAACAGTAAACACTAGATGTGACCGCCATCGTGAAATAAAAAGTAAATAATGTGCATACGTTGTACATACAATAACAAACACATATATTTGGTCGTACAACCGAATATGGGCGAATACAACTTTCATTTGTTTATATCGGACATAGTAGCATTGTAATGAAAGCAGGAAAATATATACTAATATGATTGGCATAAGAATACCACACCGTATATACAGGCAGTATTGGATCGCATCGATTACGCTCCTGTCATCAAAATAACTGTTGTTGATACCTGTGGTATTCTTACAATAATCTTATATTTAGGGATGGATGAAAGATGGCCAAATATTTTGTCTATGGCTATCATACTCACCTCAGTTGACCACAGTCCTGACCCTGCGGGTTTTTATTAGTGTTGTTATCTGGTTCCCCTTCACCCCAGTTTGTGTAACACACCTCTCCACCATTAATCCATTTAAAGTTGTCCTCTTCATTTCTATCGTTCAGGCCAATCCAAAATCCAGTATCAACCTGATCACCTAAGCCACTGTCTCTTATGTATTGTGTGATAAAATCATCTGTGCGTTTGTCGGGAATTCGTGCCAAGGTTCCTCCAAGACTAGCACATTCAGCTATTGCTTCATCCCAAGTATAGCTTCCAGCGACAATATGGTACTCCACAGCTACGTGGTTACTAATTGTGTATGCTGTAATTGAATAAAACATGTATTTTTAATTGTGTTTAGATTGTTTTGTTAACGTGTAAAGTAAACAGAACCTAGTTGCAGTAACAACAATATGTTTAGCTACATTTCAAAAATATGTCTTACTTACATTTCAAAAATATGTATTAACAACATTAAAAAATATGTATTAACTACATTACAAAAATATGTCTTAGCTACATTTCAATAATATGTATTAACTACTTTTCATTGGTATATTAAAGGTATACTTGTATAATAAAGGCTTACATACCATGAGTAGAGAACACACATGATACCAGGACGAATAGGGTAATGTTAATAATCTTCATCTTGATACCAGAACTGAAAAATATCTAAATGTTCGGGAAGTCCAATAACTAAGTTAAATAACATTTAAGTGAATGTTTAATGTGTGTTGAATTGAATAACGATATTTGTAGACGGTTTATGCAGTATTCGAGAGTGACAAGTCAGATTTATACTTACCTGATGACTTCTTCTCTGTCGGACAGTGCAGTGTGGCCTAGCATGAACACTAAGGCGAATTTATAGAACTTCCAGTGTACAAAACAACAAATACATCTATAATCTACTTGAGGCGAGATTCTTTTATTCGTGAATTCAGAATTTTTACGAAATGGCTATGCTAATAGGTTCGTGTCACTGATGATACTAGAAAGCGCGTTTGGAAGCGCGAGATGAACACGTGTTTGTTATCAGTGGGCCTTGTGAGTGCACGTTCGTGGGAGAAAAACTTCTGAAAACATGACCTGTCTATACTGCCTCAAAAAGCGTGATGACGATTATAGTTTAGTTCATTTGTATAGGTCTTTTTATCTCAGGAATTTTGTTTTTGGTAACGAATTGCAATGTTCAAATAATTTTATATTCTACACTGAGATGTTGGCAAAATATTTTAGATGTCTTGTTATAATAATGTTATGTCACATAATATGCAAGTTGTGTAAAAATGTAACAGTAATGATTAGTATGTGAAATCTGCCTGCAAAAATGTCCACGAATTATCCTGGCATTCCTTTATGGAAACACACAGATGATGAAGACGATATTTGGTAATTCTAAAATTTGCTTTAACAAACAATTATTATCACGCTTTTAAAAGAGATGCTCATTTTGCAAAATCGTTTTCCTGCTTAATTATGATTCATTTGTTTTGAATATATGCTTTCAATGTACAATAATGACAAACATGTGTTTCAATAGACTATTTAAACACAATAACTGACACGAATTCTTGTAAAAAAATATATTTTTAATATTTGCATATTCTCTGATACTCAATCATTGTAACAAGTAGATTTTTGATAGCAAATAGTTGTGCGGTTTGCACGATTAAACATTTATAAATACGCTGATGTGTTCGCGTTAAGTCACACTGCGTGAACTAAGAGGAAGAAGAAGCACTCATACGTAAGTATATCTCTATTCATTTGGTTTGAATCCTGTGATATATTTGCTTCTTTCTGTCATTTATATTAACACTATAAATATGATCACATTGATGCTGCACAGTATTGTCCCTAAGAAACCAGTAACTGAATTATCAGCTCATGTATTCCTTTATATGCACAATTTACTTGGAGTATATTACTTAAAAAACAGGCCGATTTTACACATGGCGCCAATGAAACCATTAAACAAATTAAAATGTCTAAACAAACAGTTTCATAACTGTGTTGAAATTTCCAAAAAAATGAAGTCGCTTCATTTACAGTATTGGCAGTCCGCTATTTGGCTTTAGCTTAAATTAAACTGACAAACCTGTTTTGTTGTCAAGTTAATTAGAACAGTTTGGATTAGAAATTAAACCGGACTCATAAGACTATGAAACATATACCGTCCCGTATGTATTCTGTTCTTGACGCATTTCTATTTTGCAACGCAATAAACTTGTTAGTCAGTCCAGAAGACAGTGTGACGCGCCTTGAGCTAGGGAGAGTCCTGCTAATGATGATATGAAAATGTGTTTGTATTTTTCTGTTTCATGTCATTTGTGTTTCAAATATAAAACCCTCGTGTTGATATATCCATTTAGAATTCATTAAATCTATTTTAAATTCATATTACAGCGGAGAAAGCATATCTTAAATGTTATGTAGTGATTCTTTGTTTAACACATACTCTACTAATCACGTCTTTTACATTCCTTCATGTTCATAATTTGACTGTACATATATTTTCATAGCGTCGCTCAGTTCTTTTATCACCATGAAGTGTACAATCTTTACCCTCATTTTGGTCAGCACGATATCCTGCCTATATTCTGTTCATGGTATGTATAGAAATTGAAATTATGATTGTATAATTTACCTACTGGGTTTGTGTGCAACCTATAGTCATTAGAACAATGATAGTTGTTCGTCTTGTATGGACAACTATAATGCAACTACATTAACCACAGTACCTTACTGAATAATATTATTGTTCCCATTGCAGCAAAGATGTTTCATCGACTGACTTTATATATCCCGTCCCGGTCGTTTTCTGCCTATGACAGACCAGTTTCAAATAATTGTGATTACGGTAAATAACACATTCAACAACGTTCGAAACAATTATATATTTTCTCCATTGCAGGACATGTGCTTCTAAATCACGTTGTCGTGGAATATGAAATCTACACTGATGCAGTTACTTGGGATGAAGCAATACAAAGATGTGAAAGTGAGAATGGACAATTGGCCAGGATTCCCGATAAACGCACAGACGATCTTCTCAGAGATTATATATACTACTCTGGTGCTAACAATTCGGTTGAAACTGGGTTTTGGATTGGTCTGAACGACAGAGCTACCGAAAATACATTTGTGTGGCTCAATGGTGGACCCGTTTGTTACACAAACTGGGCTAAAGACGAACCAAACAATAACACCAAGCGTAACGCAGCTGAGGGCCAAGATTGTGCACAACTGAGGTGAGTTTACAAATGATAACCTGAAAGTTTGTGTATATGTTTAGGTGTTACTCTAATATATGCCAATAAATCAATGAATGCAGTGCCATGAATTATATTAGGTATGTTTATATGTTATTATCCACGCAATTACTTTACGTTATAATTAGTGTTATTATGCAACTACCAAAACGTCTTTCATGTTGGGCTGCAAAAACAAACATTATTTTAAAAATTGCATGTGCATAGTTTCCCAACGTTATTTTATTTTATTTTATTTCATTTTGCAGAAAAAGCAGGGACTTCAAATGGGATGATGAGTATTGTAATGACATCAGAACAAAAGGTTATATTTGTGAAAAACAAGGTACGTTTCTGTCATATAAATAACCACAACAAATTATCTACTTAAAACTTAATCTGTAACTGAAAAGACTTGTCAACATGAACTATTTTAGACAATATTTTAAGCAATAAGCTGGAGTTTTGCTTCTACTAGTGCAAATATGTTATATGTACAATTTTTCATTTTTTTTCAGTTTGCAACTTCTGTGATACTTGTTAGATCGTCAACACCAATTACACAACCAACGTATTGTGACAACCCGATGACCATAGGTCTACATTAATTAGAATATATCATTCTGTATCTGCATGCTGTACTAATAAAACAGATCATCCTATAGACATAAAGTGTGTTTATTTAATACTCGCTATAAAACTCATCGCCACATCATCTTCCATCTTCCATTTTGATTAGGGTATCGTTAACTATAATATATGACATCATTTTCATGCAGTGTGGGAAGTAGATGACACATACCACAAACTCCAAAACCACAAAACCGATTTCTGAAAGTGCCAGTATTGAGGCCAATACTGAATTAATTTTCCATTTACTTAGTCTGCCAAGAGTTATATGATCTTCGCCACTGAACTGCGTGAGTTGCTTTTAAGCAATGTAAATTGTTTGACTCACACTGATAATAAGATGGAACAATAAGACAGCACATACAGAATTCTTATGAACTCCTAACAAATACCACTCACAATTAGGTTGGCTTAAAAAATAAGCAAGGTATTTTCCAAATTAATTGAACAAAGTATAAATGATACAGGTTATGGTGTATCCACAAAATTTTTTAAAGCAGACTTGTGGACTTACAGATGAAAATGTATTTGTTGACGTGGCAAAGACTTGATTTTTTCAGTGATTTTCTTTGCCACTTCTGCAACACTCGGAAAACTGATTTCCGTCTTCCACTCTCTCAGCAAACAGTTCAAGATGCTTTCAACATGTTTGCTCACCGATGACTACCTAAGTTTTAACAATATCCAGCAGTCACCAATTCAAATTTATCACAGTCATCACAGACTGTTCACACTGTGTGCAAGTGCGAATTGAAGCACATAACGGAGATTTTTCCCTTTATGAGTTAGACTGACCTTCTCATCGAAGGTACTATATGCATTACAGCCTTGTTCAGAACAAAAAATGTCTACAAATATAGAACACGTCGTGATATATATTAGAAAGGGTGTCTCGTGTTGGAAGTAGTCAAATACAAGTTAATCGCTAGATGTGTGAAAGAAACCTGGCTTCCGCTTATGGATACAATCATTTTAGCCGCGTAACGTACATATGATGTTGAGAATGATAATTTTCTGGCTGTAGATATGATTGACCATCATCCATTCGAGTGTTTTATCTACTGATTTCTATTACTATGGGAGTGAAAGTATCAAGTGTTACTGTGGTGTTCCAAATGAAAATATCAGTCACGTGAATGGTGTTATTTTATATTCCCACTCTGTGACCAGCATTACTTTTACGATTGTTATAAAGCAGAACTGTTGGGCATTTTAAATAAACATAAATAAATGAGAACAAGAATAGTGTTTCCCAATTTCGTGTTGTAATACTTCCCATGTATTTCATATGTTTTTTTTTTCATAAAAACTATGTACTTGTATGTAATTTATGCGACTGTGTCAATGTCGGTTAGCTCTTGTAAAGCTCTTCCCTGTGACTCTCACTTCAGACGATTACAATGAAAAATAAAATATGAAAAACAATAAGCAAAATATGTTGGCCAGTTTGAATATTTTGTCAATCTACGAGCAGTAATGTACCCCATACAGAGACGTATATGTATGAAAAGTAGTGTCTGAATAATATGACATCACCAAATTAACATATTACAATTAAGAAGCAGAACAGCACAATTATCTCAGAATTGACATTGAGATAAGTCAACAGAAATAAGCAGTCACTGTATACAATCAAAAAGCATATTCATTGAACTGATTTGAACGTTACTAGCTAGCTCTAAACATTATAGAATGGGACGTGAATGAAAATTGTAAATACAAGTAATTGCCTGCGTACTTGAAAGCATGCATAGCTTGGAAATCTTATGTAAGGTGGCACTATACAAGTGAAAACTAACTATTGGGAACAACAATACAACTCTTATATAGGAGGTTGCCATGTTTTTCTGTCGAAAAGTACCATCCCAAAAGATCCATGACAAAGTAAAGAAGAAGCGTGATAACAAAGAATGAGAACTTGATGGACCAATCAGAATGCCGGAACCATTACTAGTTACCGGCCTCTTGTAGCTTGGTGCGCCATAACACTTTAGGCGGTAACCTACCGAAGACGTAACCCTCACGATGAAAACGAAAGTACACACCATGGACAATGATAAAACATAGAGGGCAGATTGCAACGAAATTGTATTTATTTATTTATGAAATAAACAAATCTGATTGGTCCTTGAACGCAATTTGATATTGCGACATCACCAACAATTCAACCAATAAACATATCTATTTTAATGACGAGACAAAACATTTTTGTGGAAACTTTTATGATCAATCTTAATGTTCTACCGATACTTTTACTCATTCACCAATACACCAATTGTTTTAAATTTAATTTTAAGATTCCTCTCCAAGCTCCCTCGTCTGAACTGCCACTACTGTTTGTCAATTTACTGTTACGATGTGTGAAGAAGACTAATATAACTAGCACACAGTTTAGTTCTAATGTGTCTCTAATACATTAAATGTATCGATAATTTGTTTAACTTCAGCCGATAAACTGGCCGTAATTACGTAATGCGTTGATGCGTAATGACTTGCAGAGAAGTTGCCGGAAACACTGCAGCAAACTCCAACGTTTACTTACGCAACTCTTTATGAAGGTTATAGCATCATACATCCTAGAAGATTGTGTCATGACCTCCGCCCTCTATAGTTGAACTAGCTTATTACATGGTAATGATTAAATTTGTATATTGAGCTGACTGACACTTACTTAAACATTATTAATAGTACACGATGTCACTTCTAGGGTTTGTTTGTATATGAAACACAGTCACAATAATTCACCTAATACATGTGTAAAATTAAATACTTTTGTGTCTTTTTTTCACTTTTTGAATGTTTTTAATTTATTTTTCATGTCTGGGATATCATCTTTGTGTAATTGCTTGTTCTATTGCAACACATTGTAAAATAATTTAACTCTTGTTTGAGTCCCGTAATAGACAATACTTCGTGTGTTTACGCTATAGTCATTGATTACGGCAGGTGAATATCGGTACCTTTCAAAAATTTATACTGTAATATTTCACCCACTTGTGCTATACTAATGAAGTAAATAATGATGATGAGTCTACATCAGATAACACAGGTGTACATCTTTAAGACAGTAGTATATATTGTGATGAGTGTACTACTTAGATATGAAATAAGACACACATTATACGTCTATATCAGCTTTATTGTATTAGTTTAGCATGCAAATACAGAAATTAGATCTACAAAAAAATATGTAGCCCCATGGCCACCGAACTACAACAATGCGTCGATTGTATTCATGGTTCTGGGCATTTAGAACAGCTGCAAGCTGAAATAAAACAACAACGAAAATTTAACGTCATTTTCAAAAAATAAAAACGCATAATACGAACAATGACGTCATATTAGTATTAGTATGCCAATTCTACGATAATTGCCAGTTTTAATGTTTAATATTATATAAATACAAAACAGTGCTAGTCATGCCTGCCATCAAAACCGCACATGAGCACACATACTTGTACTTGCCTGTACCTCTCTCAATACCCTTCTCTCAAGTTGAATCTTACATGTTGTTATGACCCACATAAGATTGCGTTTTAATTGAATAAAAATGCAACAAAGTAGAAACAACATTATACATGTTGTAACTTAAGATAGAAATGTTAGTAAAAGGTGTAAACATCAGTGTCGCATTATTACACACTAACATACCTTGTACTTCACAAATGAAACCCTTCTCTCTGATATCAACACCAGTGCAATATTCATCATCCCATTTAAAGTCTGTTGTTTTTCTACAAAGACAACAAATTACAATATCATTTACCTATCTGTGTAAACAATAAACACTGGATGTGACCGCCATCGTGAAATAAAAAGTAAATAATGTGCATACGTTGTACATACAATAACAAACACATATATTTGGTCGTACAACCGAATATGGGCGAATACAACTTTCATTTGTTTATATCGGACATAGTAGCATTGTAATGAAAGCAGGAAAATATATACTAATATGATTGGCATAAGAATACCACACCGTATATACAGGCAGTATTGGATCGCATCGATTACGCTCCTGTCATCAAAATAACTGTTGTTGATACCTGTGGTATTCTTACAATAATCTTATATTTAGGGATGGATAAAAGATGGCCAAATATTTTATCTATGGCTATCATACTCACCTCAGTTGACCACAGTCCTGACCCTGCGGGTTTTTATTAGTGTTGTTATCTGGTTCCCCTTCACCCCAGTTTGTGTAACACACCTCTCCACCATTAATCCATTTAAAGTTGTCCTCTTCATTTCTATCGTTCAGGCCAATCCAAAATCCAGTATCAACCTGATCACCTAAGCCACTGTCTCTTATGTATTGTGTGATAAAATCATCTGTGCGTTTGTCGGGAATTCGTGCCAAGGTTCCTCCAAGACTAGCACATTCAGCTATTGCTTCATCCCAAGTATAGCTTCCAGCGACAATATGGTACTCCACAGCTACGTGGTTACTAATTGTGTATGCTGTAATTGAATAAAACATGTATTTTTAATTGTGTTTAGATTGTTTTGTTAACGTGTAAAGTAAACAGAACCTAGTTGCAGTAACAACAATATGTTTAGCTACATTTCAAAAATATGTCTTACTTACATTTCAAAAATATGTATTAACTACATTAAAAAAATATGTATTAACTACATTACAAAAATATGTCTTAGCTACATTTCAATAATATGTATTAACTACTTTTCATTGGTATATTAAAGGTATACTTGTATAATAAAAGGCTTACATACCATGAGTAGAGAACACACATGATACCAGGACGAATAGGGTAATGTTAATAATCTTCATCTTGATACCAGAACTGAAAAATATCTAATGTTCGGGAAGTCCAATAACTAAGTTAAATAACATTTAAGTGAATGTTTTAATGTGTGTTGAATTGAATAACGATATTTGTAGACGGTTTATGCAGTATTCGAGAGTGACAAGTCAGATTTATACTTACCTGATGACTTCTTCTCTGTCGGACAGTGCAGTGTGGCCTAGCATGAACACTAAGGCGAATTTATAGAACTTCCAGTGTACAAAACAACAAATACATCTATAATCTACTTGAGGCGAGATTCTTTTATTCGTGAATTCAGAATTTTTACGAAATGGCTATGCTAATAGGTTCGTGTCACTGATGATACTAGAAAGCGCGTTTGGAAGCGCGAGATGAACACGTGTTTGTTATCAGTGGGCCTTGTGAGTGCACGTTCGTGGGAGAAAAACTTCTGAAAACATGACCTGTCTATACTGCCTCAAAAAGCGTGATGACGATTATAGTTTAGTTCATTTGAATAGGTCTTTTTATCACAGGAATTTTGTTTTTGGTAACGAATTGCAATGTTCAAATAATTTTATATTCTACACTGAGATGTTGGCAAAATATTTTAGATGTCTTGTTATAATAATGTTATGTCACATAATATGCAAGTTGTGTAAAAATGTAACAGTAATGATTAGTATGTGAAATCTGCCTGCAAAAATGTCCACGAATTATCCTGGTATTCTATTATGGAAACACACAGATGATGAAGACGATATTTGGTAATTCTAAAATTTGCTTTAACAAACAATTATTATCACGCTTTTAAAAGAGATGCTCATTTTGCAAAATCGTTTTCCTGCTTAATTATGATTCATTTGTTTTGAATATATGCTTTCAATGTACAATAATGACAAACATGTGTTTCAATAGACTATTTAAACACAATAACTGACACGAATTCTTGTAAAAAAATATATTTTTAATATTTGCATATTCTCTGATACTCAATCATTGTAACAAGTAGATTTTTGATAGCAAATAGTTGTGCGGTTTGCACGATTAAACATTTATAAATACGCTGATGTGTTCGCGTTAAGTCACACTGCGTGAACTAAGAGGAAGAAGAAGCACTCATACGTAAGTATATCTCTATTCATTTGGTTTAAATCCTGTGATATATTTGTTTCTTTCTGTCATTTATATTAACACTATGAATATGATCACATTGATGCTGCACAGTATTGTCCCTAAGAAACCAGTAACTGAATTATCAGCTCATGTATTCCTTTATGTGCACAATTTACTTGGAGTATATTACTTAAAAAACAGGCCGATTTTACACATGGCGCCAATGAAATCATTAAACAAATTAAAATCTCTAAACAAACAGTTTCATAACTGTGTTGAAATTTCCAAAAAAATGAAGTCGCTTCATTTACAGTATTGGCAGTCCGCTATTTGGCTTTAGCTTAAATTAAACTGACAAACCTGTTTTGTTGTCAAGTTAATTAGAACAGTTTGGATTAGAAATTAAACCGGACTCATAAGACTGTGAAACATATACTGTCCCGTATGTATTCTGTTCTTGACGCATTTCTATTTTGCAACGCAATAAACTTGTCAGTCAGTCCAGAAGACAGTGTGACGCGCCTCGAGCGAGGGAGAGTCCTGCTAATGATGATATGAAAATGTGTTTGTATTTTTCTGTTTCATATCATTTGTGTTTCAAATATAAAACCCTCGTGTTGATATATCCATTTAGAATTCATTAAATCTATTTTAAATTCATATTACAGCGGAGAAAGCATATCTTAAATGTTATGTAGTGATTCTTTGTTTAACACATACTTTACTAATCACGTCTTTTACATTCTTTCATGTTCATAATTTGACTGTACATATATTTTTATAGCGTCGCTCAGTTCTTTTATCACCATGAAGTGTACTATCTTTACCCTCATTTTGGTCAGCACGATATCCTGCCTATATTCTGTTCATGGTATGTATAGAAATTGAAATTATTATTGTATAATTTACCTACTGGGTTTGTGTGCAACCTATAGTCATTAGAACAATGATAGTTGTTCGTCTTGTATGGACAACTATAATGCAACTACATTAACCACAGTACCTTACTGAATAATATTATTGTTCCCATTGCAGCAAAGATGTTTCATCGACTGACTTTATATATCCCGTCCCGGTCGTTTTCTGCCTATGACAGACCAGTTTCAAATAATTGTGATTACGGTAAATAACACATTCAACAACGTTCGAAACAATTATATACTTTCTTCAATTCAGGACATGTGCTTCTAAATCACGTTGTCGTGGAGTATGAAATCTACACTGATGCAGTTACTTGGGATGAAGCAATACAAAGATGTGAAAGTGAGAATGGACAATTGGCCAGGATTCCCGATAAACGCACAGACGATCTTCTCAGAGATTATATATACTACTCTGGTGCTAACAATTCGGTTGAAACTGGGTTTTGGATTGGTCTGAACGACAGAGCTACCGAAAATACATTTGTGTGGCTCAATGGTGGACCCGTTTGTTACACAAACTGGGCTAAAGACGAACCAAACAATAACACCAAGCGTAACGCAGCTGAGGGCCAAGATTGTGCACAACTGAGGTGAGTTTACAAATGATAACCTGAAAGTTTGTGTATATGTTTAGGTGTTACTCTAATATATGCCAATAAATCAATGAATGCAGTGCCATGAATTATATTAGGTATGTTTATATGTTATTATCCACGCAATTACTTTACGTTATAATTAGTGTTATTATGCAACTACCAAAACGTCTTTCATGTTGGGCTGCAAAAACAAACATTATTTTAAAAATTGCATGTGGATAGTTTCCCAACGTTATTTTATTTTATTTCATTTTGCAGAAAAAGCAGGGACTTCAAATGGGATGATGAGTATTGTAATGACATCAGAACAAAAGGTTATATTTGTGAAAAACAAGGTACGTTTCCGTCATATAAATAACCACCACAAATTATCTACTTAAAACTTAATCTGTAACTGAAAAGACTTGTCAACATGAACTATTTTAGACAATATTTTAAGCAATAAGCTGTTGTTATATGTACAATTTTTCATTTTTTTTTCAGTTTGCAACTTCTGTGATACTTGTTAGAACGTCAACACCAATTACACAACCAACGTATTGTGACAACCCGATGACCATAGGTCTACATTAATTAGAATATATCATTCTGTATCTGCATGCTGTACTAATAAAACAGATCATCCTATAGACATAAAGTGTGTTTATTTAATACTCGCTATAAAACTCATCGCCACATCATCTTCCATCTTCCATTTTGATTAGGGTATCGTTAACTATAATATATGACATCATGTTCATGCAGTGTGGGAAGTAGATGACACATACCACAAACTACAAAACCACAAAACCGATTTCTGAAAGTGCCAGTATTGAGGCCAATACTGAATTAATTTTCCATTTACTTAGTCTGCCAAGAGTTATATGATCTTCGCCACTGAACTGCGTGAGTTGCTTTTAAGCAATGTAAATTGTTTGACTCACACTGATAATAAGATGGAACAATAAGACAGCACATACAGAATTCTTATGAACTCCTAACAAATACCACTCACAATTAGGTTGGCTTAAAAAATAAGCAAGGTATTTTCCAAATTAATTGAACAAAGTATAAATGATACAGGTTATGGTGTATCCACAAAATTTTTTAAAGCAGACTTGTGGACTTACAGATGAAAATGTATTTGTTGACGTGGCAAAGACTTGATTTTTTCAGTGATTTTCTTTGCCACTTCTGCAACACTCGGAAAACTGATTTCCGTCTTCCACTCTCTCAGCAAACAGTTCAAGATGCTTTCAACATGTTTGCTCACCGATGACTACCTAAGTTTTAACAATATCCAGCAGTCACCAATTCAAATTTATCACAGTCATCACAGACTGTTCACACTGTGTGCAAGTGCGAATTGAAGCACATAACGGAGATTTTTCCCTTTATAAGTTAGACTGACCTTCTCATCGAAGGTACTATATGCATTACAGCCTTGTTCAGAACAAAAAATGTCTACAAATATAGAACACGTCGTGATATATATTAGAAAGGGTGACTCGTGTTGGAAGTAGTCAAATACAAGTTAATCGCTAGATGTGTGAAAGAAACCTGGCTTCTGCTTATGGATACAATCATTTTAGCCGCGTAACGTACATATGATGTTGAGAATGATAATTTATGGCTGTAGATATGATTGACCATCATCCATTCGAGTGTTTTATCTACTGATTTCTATTACTATGGGAGTGAAAGTATCAAGTGTTACTGTGGTGTTCCAAATGAAAATATCAGTCACGTGAATGGTGTTATTTTATATTCCCACTCTGTGACCAGCATTACTTTTACGATTGTTATAAAGCAGAACTGTTGGGCATTTTAAATAAACATAAATAAATGAGAACAAGAATAGTGTTTCCCAATTTCGTGTTGTAATACTTCCCATGTATTTCATATGGGTTTTTTTCATAAAAACTATGTATTTGAATGTAATTTATGCGACTGTGTCAATGTCGGTTTGCTCTTGTAAAGCTCTTCCCTGTGACTCTCACTTCAGACGATTACAATGAAAAATTAAATATGAAAAACAATAAGCAAAAGATGTTGGCCAGTTTGAATATTTTGTCAATCTACGAGCAGTAATGTACCCCATACAGAGACGTATATGTATGAAAAGTAGTGTCTGAATAATATGACATCACCAAATTAACATATTACAATTAAGAAGCAGAACAGCACAATTATCTCAGAATTGACATTGAGATAAGTCAACAGAAATAAACAGTCACTGTATACAATCAAAAAGCATATTCATTGAACTGATTTGAACGTTACTAGCTCTAAACATTATAGAATGGGACGTGAATGAAAATTGTAAATACAAGTAATTGCCTGCGTACTTGAAAGCATGCATAGCTTGGAAATCTTATGTAAGGTGGCACTATACAAGTGAAAACTAACTATTGGGAACAACAATACAACTCTTATATAGGAGGTTGCCATGTTTTTCTGTCGAAAAGTACCATCCCAAAAGATCCATGACAAAGTAAAAAAGAAGCCTGATAACAAAGAATGAGAACATGATGGACCAATCAGAATGCCGGAACCATTACTAGTTACCGGCCTCTTGTAGCTTGGTGCGCCATAACACTTTAGGCGGTAACCTACCGAAGACGCAACCCTCACGATGAAAACGAAAGTACACACCATGGACAATGATAAAACATAGAGGGCAGATTGCAACGAAATTGTATTTATTTATTTATGAAATAAACAAATCTGATTGTTCCTTGAACGCAATTTGATATTGCGACATCACCAACAATTCAACCAATAAATATATCTATTTTAATGACGAGACAAAACATTTTTGTGGAAACTTTTATGATCAATCTTAATATTCTACCGATACTTTTACTCATTCACCAATACACCAATTGTTTTAAATTTAATTTTAAGATTCCTCTCCAAGCTCCCTTGTCTGAACTGCCACTACTGTTTGTCAATTTCCTGTTACGATGTGTGAAGAAGACTAATATAACTAACACACAGTTTAGTTCTAATGTGTCTCTAATACATTAAATGTATCGATAATTTGTTTAACTTCAGCCGATAAACTGGCCGTAATTACGTAATGCGTTGATGCGTAATGACTTGCAGAGAAGTTGCCGGAAACACTGCAGCAAACTCCAACGTTTACTTACGCAACTCTTTATGAAGGTTATAGCATCATACATCCTAGAAGATTGTGTCATGACCTCCGCCCTCTATAGTTGAACTAGCTTATTACATGGTAATGATTAAATTTGTATATTGAGCTGACTGACACTTAAACATTATTAATAGTACACGATGTCACTTCTAGGGTTTGTTTGTATATGAAACACAGTCACAATAATTCACCTAATACATGTGTAAAATTAAATACTTTTGTGTCTTTTTTTCACTTTTTGAATGTTTTTAATTTATTTGTCATGTCTGGGATATCATCTTTGTGTAATTGCTTGTTCTATTGCAACACCTTGTAAAATAATTTAACTCTTGTTTGAGTCCCGTAATAGACAATACTTCGTGTGTTTACGCTAGAGTCATTGATTACGGCAGGTGAATATCGGTACCTTTCAAAAATTTATACTGTAATATTTCACCCACTTGTGCTATACTAATGAAGTAAATAATGATGATGAGTCTACATCTGATAACACAGGTGTACATCTTTAAGACAGTAGTATATATTGTGATGAGTGTACTACTTAGATATGAAATAAGACACACATTATACGTCCATATCAGCTTTATTGTATTAGTTTAGCATGCAAATACAGAAATTAGATCTACAAAAAATATGTAGCCCCATGGCCACCGAACTACAACAATGCGTCGATTGTATTCATGGTTCTGGGCATTTAGAACAGCTGCAAGCTGAAATAAAACAACAACGAAAATTTAACGTCATTTTCAAAAATAAAAACACATAATACGAACAATGACGTCATATTAGTATTATTATGCCAATTCTACGATAATTGCCAGTTTTAATGTTTAATATTATATAAATACAAAACAGTGCTAGTCATGCCTGCCATCAAAACCGCACATGAGCACACATACTTGTACTTGCCTGTACCTCTCTCAATACCCTTCTCTCAAGTTGAATCTTACATGTTGTTATGACCCACATAAGATTGCGTTTTAATTGAATAAAAATGCAACAAAGTAGAAACAACATTATACATGTTGTAACTTAAGATAGAAATGTTAGTAAAAGGTGTAAACATCAGTGTCGCATTATTACACACTAACATACCTTGTACTTCACAAATGAAACCCTTCTCTCTGATATCAACACCAGTGCAATATTCATCATCCCATTTAAAGTCTGTTGTTTTTCTACAAAGACAACAAATTACAATATAATTTACCTATCTGTATAAACAGTAAACACTAGATGTGACCGCCATCGTGAAATAAAAAGTAAATAATGTGCATACGTTGTACATACAATAACAAACACATATATTTGGTCGTACAACCGAATATGGGCGAATACAACTTTCATTTGTTTATATCGGACATAGTAGCATTGTAATGAAAGCAGGAAAATATATACTAATATGATTGGCATAAGAATACCACACCGTATATACAGGCAGTATTGGATCGCATCGATTACGCTCCTGTCATCAAAATAACTGTTGTTGATACCTGTGGTATTCTTACAATAATCTTATATTTAGGGATGGATAAAAGATGGCCAAATATTTTGTCTATGGCTATCATACTCACCTCAGTTGACCACAGTCCTGACCCTGCGGGTTTTTATTAGTGTTGTTATCTGGTTCCCCTTCACCCCAGTTTGTGTAACACACCTCTCCACCATTAATCCATTTAAAGTTGTCTTCTTCATTTCTATCGTTCAGGCCAATCCAAAATCCAGTATCAACCTGATCACCTAAGCCACTGTCTCTTATGTATTGTGTGATAAAATCATCTGTGCGTTTGTCGGGAATTCGTGCCAAGGTTCCTCCAAGACTAGCACATTCAGCTATTGCTTCATCCCAAGTATAGCTTCCAGCGACAATATGGTACTCCACAGCTACGTGGTTACTAATTGTGTATGCTGTAATTGAATAAAACATGTATTTTTAATTGTGTTTAGATTGTTTTGTTAACGTGTAAAGTAAACAGAACCTAGTTGCAGTAACAACAATATGTTTAGCTACATTTCAAAAATATGTCTTACTTACATTTCAAAAATATGTATTAACTACATTAAAAGAATATGTATTAACTACATTACAAAAATATGTCTTAGCTACATTTCAATAATATGTATTAACTACTTTTCATTGGTATATTAAAGGTATACTTGTATAATAAAGGCTTACATACCATGAGTAGAGAACACAATGATACCAGGACAAATAGGGTAATGTTAATAATCTTCATCTTGATACCAGAACTGAAAAATATCTAAATGTTCGGGAAGTTCAACAACTAAGTTAAATAACATTTAAGTGAATGTTTAATGTGTGTTGAATTGAATAACGATATTTGTAGACGGTTTATGCAGTATTCGAGAGTGACAAGTCAGATTTATACTTACCTGATGACTTCTTCTCTGTCGGACAGTGCAGTGTGGCCTAGCATGAACACTAAGGCGAATTTATAGAACTTCCAGTGTACAAAACAACAAATACATCTATAATC